CAGGTGCAGCAGGGGAAGGAAAAGGTTCAGTTTCTTTTCCAGGTTGAGAATCCCGAGGAGGTTGTTCACCGAGAGTACCATCGGGACCTGTTTCCGCCCTATCCTTATTTGATAGCGTAGACACAGAACCCCTGGGACTTGAAGGATCAATTGTACCGTTGGCAGCGTGATGTTCGTGCTCTCTGTTTCTCTCATCTTCTCCTGCTTTAACAGAGCCCAATTCTTGCGTTGCCTTTGGTGTACAATGAGTTGTAGAATTCTCATCGCAATTACCCGTAGGTGTAAGAGTAGTGGGAGTGCAATCTTCCTTTTGAGGAGACTCCGCACATTCAACAAGAGGAATTGCAGGGTTACTACCGACACGAGGACACTCTGGACCAGTAGACTGAGTTTTACAACCATCTACACCAGGAATAACTCCAGCACCTTCAGCAAGTTCAGCCGGTTCTTGTTGTGCCTCACCTGCCACCACAAATGCCACGCTTAACAGCACAACCATAAGATACAAAGGACGTCGCACGAGGATCATTTCGGCAAAAAAGTATACTGTGTTGTTTAGGACCAGTTAACTGCAAAAAGAAGAACAAAAACAATTGTAACACAGTATAAATAAAAGAATAGAGCACAACAAAACCAGCAGTTAAAATACATTAGAAAAAATGAAAAGAAAAATAGAGTTATACCACATGCACTAAAGCCAAGGCAAAACAAAACAAAGAAATTAAGAGCACACAATACACAGTTTAGAGAACTGTGCGTATGTTTGAGTTAATATGCAATTAATACTATATTTGTCTGTTCCTGTCTTATTTTTCCAAGGACTCACCATCATCATTGCATCAGGAGAACAAACACTATGACCCAGCAAATAAAAAAAACAGATATTAACAACTGAACCCAATTTACCCAGTAAAAACAGAAACACCAAAACAAACTACAGCCATACGTGAGATAATACGCGATTATAAATATAAATTTATCTGTTATTATCATTTCCTTTTCTTTTTCCCACTGCAAAAAACAGTTCATCATTATCATCACAGTGCAAGCCCAGACACACACAGAGAGAGTCTCCAAGAACACACATACACACACAATGGAGTAGTAGCAATAATAATTATTATAGGATAAACACATAGAGCAAAAACACACAAAACACACATTAACATTAAGAAACAAAAAAGAAAAAAAGAAAACTCTCAACAGGTAGAAGATTAGTTACACTGTAGTGTGGATGCATGCAAAAAAGAAAAAGAAAACAAAGGATAACCTGAACCACACCATCATCACAATAATCAGCACACAAGAATACAGGCCAGTGTAACCACAATCAGTAGTGGTACACGCACCCACACAGAACTGCTGATACTGCTGCTGCTGTCTGCATC